GTTATGTCAAACAGAAGACAACAATGAAAACGGGACAAGTTAAGTAAGCACCTTGCGTTTCCGATGGTACCATGCTTGACATCAGAGCTCGTACCAGCGGCGCGTAGAATTGGACGGAGTTAAGTACCATGCCTAGAAAATAAAAGAAAGGTTTATTGTGAAATATTGCATTAGGTTCGCGATTACGCTACCGCTCCTCTAGCTTGATAGTACAACTTACCTAGAAAGAGGACGAAATAGCAGCTGGGAGAGGCGAAACTGCCTGAAATGCCATAGAGAAACCGGCTGACTGTCATAATGGACACTACGGTGACCAACATGTAAATCATGATCCTGCGCGCCTGACGCATCTTCCTCCTCCGCATGACGGCCTCATCGTAGGGTTTGCCGACCTCCTCAGATGACGCACCAACCGACGAACCGATTTCAGCTATAGTGCCCTTGGACGCCGCCGCTCCCACGACAGCAAGCTTCGGCTGAAGAACGAACATGTTGAAGAGGACAAAGAGACCATTCACTAGCGCGCATCCTATTCCACGAAGTCCTCTGCACAAAAAGGAGGAGAGACATTGGAAGTTGGAAGGCATATGCTGTTCAATCCTAAACTCTAAATAAAAGGCATCAAGATTTAAAGTACTCAACGAACATCTCTCCTTCGGGATTGAAACGACATAGCCTGACCCAGCTGGGTGCAGGTGTAAGGTTAGCGTCACGAACGAATGAAGTATCCGAATAAATCAGTAATGTAGGACCGCTTGAGAAAACAGAAACATTAGGCACCTAACGGGAAATTCCCAAAAGAATTAACTGATTCACTTGTGGACTGTTGCGGACGACGTCTATATTACGATTGCGGTCGTTTGCAAGTTAGCAGTAGTAGTAGAAACAGGAAGGTCCAGATGGTTTTCCCCATTCCCTGGATGTTGACGTGGACGAAATCAGGCACATGCTGGTATCCCATTGACAACGTGAGAAACGTGTAGGGGTCTAAGTCGTGCCTTGTTCCTTATAGAAGAAGAAAGTTTAAGAGTAGTGGGAGTTGTCTGTTGTATACAGAAACTCAGTGTAGATCTGAAGCCTCGACGCGTGGCAGGCCTGCGACCAATTCAGTAAAGTTTGGCAATGTGCTTAACTCAAACTCACAAGCTTCCGGGAGCCGCTTGCAACGCCGCGCCTCTCCTGAGTACTTGCATGTACGGACCAGTGACAGGCTGTCTTCCAGCCAATCATAGCTGTCCTAACCGACCAATTATCTCAAAGACCGACATGCGACTCGGGCACTGCGCTCGCGTCGCCGGACGTGTGCCCCCATCAGACTGCCAATTTAGTCCCGCCTTTTCTCTAGTAGATCTGCACAGAAGACAACTTCTAACTTCTTCTCTCCTCTCTTCGGCGCTGGGCATTTAGTTCTATCCCAATCGGTGGATGGTATACTTAACTATCGACAAGTTAAAAACTTGTCAATGATATAGTTAGTGGACGCGTGATCCTGAGCTTACTTAAAGCCATTTTTCTTTAAAAAA